TTCCAAAACTCTGAAGTGAATCTGGGATCACGGTCTGACACAATACTAGCTGGCACTCCATGCAGCCTCACAATCTCTCGCACAAACTTCCTAGCCAAAACAGCAGCTCCATCTGTCTTCTTGATGGCCAAGAAATGTGCAGACTTAGTCAACCGATCCACAATCACCCAGATAGCATCGAAAGTCCTGAAACAGGTAGTCCAACCACGAAATCCATCGTAATCCTGTCCCACTTCCACTCTGGAATGGGTAAACTCTGCAAAAGACCACCCGGAACCTGATGCTCTGCCTTCACCAAGGCACAAGTGTTGCACTTCGCAACCCAGTCTGCTACATCCCTCTTCATCCCGACCCAATGATAGTACCTCTTGAGGTCATGGTACATCTTGGTCGCCCTGGATGAATGGAAAACTTGCTCGCGAATGAGCCTCTCCCAAAATCTGATGTCTCAACTCCACATCCTTAGGCACACAAACTCGCCCACGAACCAAGATAGTCCCATTCGCAGAGACCTCATACTCAGAACCAGTCACTCTCGTCGCATCCAGCAAACTCTGATCACTCTGCTGAGCAACTCTGATCCTGCTAAGTAGATCCGCCTGATCCACTGCCTCTAAACCCAAAGGCTCCTGCGAAATGGCACACAAACGCAAGGTACTGATCTCGCCAACTAGAGACTCCACATCTCGCTCAACTGCGGAATCATACCTCCGTCTACTCAACGCGTCCGCCACTAGGTTAGCCTTGCCCGGATGGTAGTTAATGCTCACCTGATAGTCCGCCAAGAACTCAACCCAGCGCGTCTGTCTCGCGTTCATCATCGGCTGAGTGAAGATATGCTGCAAACTCTTGTGATCGTGAAGACCTGTACTGTCTCACCTAGCAAGTAAGACCTCCAAATCTTCAACGCGAAGATCACTGCTCCCAACTCTAAGTCATGTGTAGGACGGTTACGCTCACTGCCCTGCCACTGTCTCGAAGCATATGCTATCACTCTGCCCTCCTGCATCAGCACACAACCAAGACCAATGCCTGAAGCATCTGTATACACCATGTAAGGCTTCCCTGGCTCGGGTAACGCCAACACTGGTGTAGTAGTCAACATCTCCTTGAGCTGACTAAAGCTCTCCTCACACTCAGCTGACCAAAAAAAGGGACATCCTTCCCGGTCAACTTCGTCATCGGCTGCGCCATGGTAGCAAACCCCTTGACGAACCTCCTGTAGTATCCTGCCAAACCCAGAAAACTCCTGATCTCGGTGGCACTACTAGGTCTAGGCCAATCTCTGATAGCCTCAATCTTAGCCGGATCCACAGAAACTCCCTCTGCAGAAACAATGTGGCCAAGAAATCCCATCTCTCGCTGCCAGAAACTGCACTTGCTCAACTTAGCAAAAAGCTTCTGCTCCCGAAGCTTCTCCAGAACCAACCTCAAGTGAGTCGCATGCTCCTCCTGACTCCTCGAGTATACCAGAATATCATCAATGAAAATGATGACGAACACGTCCAAATACTCCCTGAACACGTCGTTCATCAATCTCATGAAGGCTGCCGGCGCGTTAGTCAAACCGAAAGGCATAACCACAAACTCAAAATGCCCATAACGCGTCCTGAAAGCAGTCTTCCTGACATCTGCCTCATCTATCGGGATCTGATGATACCCCGATGCCAAGTCAATCTTGGAGAACCAAGTAGCACCCCTCAACTGATCCAACAACTCATCAATCCTCGGGAGTGGGTACCTGTTCTTCACAGTGACTCGGTTAAGACCTCTGTAATCGATACAAAGTCTGAAACTCCATCCTTCTTCTTCACAAACAACACCGGTGCTCCCCACGGTGAAACACTCGGTCGAATGAACCCCTTAGACAAAAGGTCCTCTATCTGCTTCTTCAGCTCTGCCAACTCAGCTGGCGCCATCCTGTAAGGCGTCTTCGATATCGGTGCTGTCCCCGGCTCTAACTCAATCGTGAAAGGATCAGACCGAGATGGTGGTAATCCCTTCAGTGACTGAAAGACATCCTCAAAATCCTGGACAACCTCAATATCTCCCATAACAACTCCAGCTCCTGACTCAGACATAGAAATCGTCGCCAGATACGCCTCACAGCCCCGCTCTAACAACTGCTCGGCCTGAATAGCAGATATCACAATACTCCCGGAAGTCGGTCTCACTCCCTGATAAACCAACCTCCCTGCATCTCGCTCGAAGACCACTCTACCTCTGTAGCAATCCAGATGAACTCTGTAGTGTGACAACCAGTCCATCCCGAGAATAACGTCATACAGCTCCACCGGACTGATGACTAAGTCTGCTGGCATTGACTGCCCCGCAATCTCGATCTCGACTCCTCTAGCACGGCCCAAAGTAGACAAGAATCCACCTCCCGCCACCTTGACCATGCCCGCGCTCTCGCCCGCGCTACTCCGGATGCCACTCTTCTCGGCACGCTCCGGTGTAATGAAGCAATTCGATGCTCCAGAGTCGAATAAAACGTGGGACTCAAAACCGCCCACTAACAAGGTCCCTACACATTCAATTGCGTTGAGAACCTCCACAAACTATCACAGATAAAAATGACTAACAGACAATACACAACAACAATTCTATACTAAGAATTTACAAAGTCTGAGTCGAAGATTTACCTGTGATCTGCCCGGTCTGACTAGTCCCGCCAGTCTCCACTGAAGAGTAACCCCGCGGCGCCGGTGCAATCTGACCCAACGGCTGCACTGCTGCGATCTGACTCACTGGCTGAGCCGCTACTGGCTGAACCGAAGCCACCGACATACTCCGCAACTTAGGACACATGGGCTTGATATGCCCAGGCTCCTTGCAGTAGTAGCACACCCTCGGTGCTGACTCTCTTGGGACAACTCGAAACACGATGCTCCGTGCTCCCACACCCAAAACACGAACCACGAGGAAACTGACTAGCACCAGAAAACTCCTCTCTACTCCTCTTCTGACCCTGCGCAGGCAAACCGCCCCTGCCAGAACCAGAACTGAAACTCGAACCACCTCTGCGCTGCTGCTGCTGCTGCTGTCGCGGCTGCTGATGCTGACCCCGAGGCTGGGTAGCAGAAGCAACTGCTGACGGCACAGCCACCGGACCAACTGGCCCACCAAGATCCGCCTCAACCGACGCGGCCAACTCTACCAGACTCGCCCTCGAAGTGTGCATACTACTCCTGCATAGAGTCCGAATATCCTTGCGAAGTCCCTCCAGAAATCTGTTCGTCAACTGATGCTCAGCCTCCATACCAAAGCCCGCATGCACTAACAGACGGCTGAACTCCTCATCATACTCGCGTACAGAACGCGAACCCTGCTCAATGCCCATAAACCGCATCTGAAGACGATCACGAGCCTGCCTCGGGAAATACTTGGCGTTGAACTCCACAAGGAAGTCGCCCCAAGTCCAAAATGCCCTCCGGCCCACCGCGGCCTGCCACCACAAATGAGCATCGCCACTCAAATAGTGGACCGCTAACTCCACCCAGTACTCCATCGGACAACGGATCGAATGAAAGTTCCGCTCCACTCTCTGACGCCACGCGTCTGCCTCCTCTGGACCAACTCTGCCCTCGAAGAAAGGCGTACCAATCTCTGCATGTGGCCCATAAACTCCAAATAACGGTCACACCCGCATCCACAGCCTCCGGCTGCGCAACGCCTGCAGCAACATGCTGCACCTCTGCCACTGGCGGTACTCCTGGAGCCCCCTGTGGAACCACCGGCGGAAAACGAGCCAATAGCTGCGTCAGCAAACCCACCACTAAGTCATCACGACCCGGAGCCGGAGCGCCACCCCCACCCGGAGCAGCCCCCGCTCCCAAACCAACACTCGCACTGGCATCACCCGCCAACGGAACTGACTGGGTCACCGACGCAGTATGCACACTCGGTGCCGCACTCTCTCCCGACTCCTCCGGAAGTCCACGACCACGACCTCGGCCTGCTCGCCTCCAGCTCTACCACCAGCTCTGCCGCCACGGCCAACTCTGCCGCCACGACCTCTAGCACCGCGCCCTCTCGCGCCACGACCTCTAGGAGCTCCGTCCATCTCACTGCATGGACCCGAACATGAGCAACTAGACAATAACACAAAACACAAACACCAAAACTCACCGCGGAATCTCCTTTAGCTGAAGGGGATGATACTAAGCCTAGCAATTCTAGCTGTCCTAAAACCGTCTAGGCTCTGATACCAAAATGAAACAACCAACATTTTTTTTTTTTTAATAAATATTAATCAATTCTAGCGAAGGTCTTTAAAATAAATTAAATAAATAAAATATCAATAACAAATAAATCAGTCAGCGGAAGCAAATAATAATTAAACAAGTCTAGCAAAATAATGCAAAACAATAAAACAGTAAACATCCTATCATCCCCCTCTTCAGCCTTGATTCCGCGATCACACAAATCTTTTACCTGCAACACATTGGAATGGAGTTGCGTAAGTATTTAATAAATACTTAGTGAGGCAATCACTCTGCCTACGAGCCATTTACGCAATTTACTAGATATTTAATAATATTTATAAACTCAATAATTATTAAATACCATTTTCCAATTATTAAATAATTTTAATAATTAAAACTCAATTTCTCAATTATTAAATAATTCTCATAATTAAATAATAATTTTCCATATTTTAAAATAATTAAAATAATACCAATTAATTAAATAAATATTATTTAATTAATTAAATCCGAATTAAATCTATTTAATTCCATTAAACCAATTAAATTCAATTAAACCAATTAAATTCAATTGAACCAAGATAAACCAGAATCAAATCAATTAAATTCAATTAAACCAATAAACCAGATTAAACCACACAAACACACAATTCATCACATGAACAACCAAAATATCATAAAATAACAATTAAAACATAAACTCATCAAGAACAACCACAAACCAAATCTAATCTAGCAAATCACGGACCCACAGTCATGCACTCACCTTGACAATGATTGAAACTGAAGGAAAAAGGAAAGACGATGAACAGTGCCGAATCGCGGATGAACAGTAACCCGTGAACAGTACCGATGAACAGTAACCCGTGAACAGTACCGATGAACAGTAAAATTCGAAAATCTCTCCAAAAACTCAACTTTTCTCCTCTACAGCATCTGAACTCGAAAATTTCCAAAGAGAAGACGGCTGCACTCTTTAAACTTGATTTTAGGGCTTTCTCCACTAAACCGACCCAAACCAATTCACTTAAATTGAACCGACAAAATTCCCAATTTTTATTTTTGGTTTATGGATGTTACATATCATACTAGTATATCAATAATAATATATAAATAAAAACGATCATGAAATGAAAGCAATTAAATTTTTACAGGTGTATATCCTCAAGAACAATTCAATGAGAGTCATCCAAAGAGCATCAACTGCAGTTAATCATTGAAACCCATATAGTATAAACGAAAATTTGATCACATTGACCGAGTGGCATATAATTCACGACTTAATGGTCAAAGTCGTCCGTAAAAAAAGATTATAATGGAATCAAGCTTTTAGCAATTCTTACGCTAATTAATAAAATAGTTTCAATATTGGTTTACTCCAAGTTGTTGATCTGGTATTTACTTCTTCTTTTTTGTCAACATTTTATATTTACTTTTCACGAAAGATATTGAATTCTTTTGACCACCTAGATTTTATCATCCAATTGTTTTAGACTTAAAGTGTTACATAAGTAAGTAAGTAACCAAGTGGATGGTAAATATAACCTAATTCTTTTGTTTATGATTATTTGGCATTATAAATACGCAAATTTGACAAGTCCACTAGGGCAAACTTTTTTTTGTTAAAAAGTCCACTAGGGCAAATTTTGTTGTAAATGTGATCAAAGAAGTTAATACGATCAGTTAACAATACTTTATTGACTACTACTCCATTAATTAGAGAGGACATTAAACCTTATTTGGTTAATCTTTGGGGCAATTTTTATATATAACATTAAAACAAGTTTTTTTTTTTCTCTCATACCATTACTACCTTTTGTTTTCATGCATACTATTTTTTATAAATAACAAATAACATAAAAACTTAAACTAACTTTAAACCTTCAAAACTAAACCACAAACATTAAATATTAAACTCAAACCCAAATATTTGAATTACAATTTTCTAGAAAAGTTTCGTGCATGGATGAAAAAGTGATATGGTTAAAACAAATAAAACTAGCGATGATATGAAAGAAAAAAAAAACTTAGTCTGTGGTATTTAAAGAAATTTCTCTAATCTCTGACGTAAAAAAACGATTAACACTTGATAAGTAGCAACTAATGTTGGAAAATTGCTTTGAGCATTCCATTGTATTCATTACATGGATAACAAAAGAATTTACAATTTGAGAAAAATAACAAAAAGAAAAAGTCTCAATAACGTACATACACATGAAACATATATAACTATATCCTTTTTTCTCCCAAAACTAAATTCTCTACATTAACCTTTTACACTAAAAAATAGCTGAAACCTATATACACTTGGGGGGTCCCATTTGGGATCTTTTTATCTATCTCCTTTCCATTTCTGTATTTTCTGTTTTCTCTTACCCAGTGAAATAATAGAGAATTAATTATTTTCTCTAAAATGGAAAGAATTCCTCAAGTTTCTAATTTTAGAAATCTAAAGTGGTATTCTCGTAATTGTCATACGTCGACCTCTGGTTTTCGTTCCAAAGCAATAGGCAATCCATTCTGTGGAAGAGCGAAAGGCCCATACTGAATTCCATCGCTAGGTCCCACTATTGACCACCTGAAATTACCAAAACATCCCTTATCAGAAAAAAAAACTCTTTCTAGAAAAAAGCTAATCCGAAGTCAACTACAAAAAGACTAATATGATTGTTCTAAGTACCAACCTGTACTTAGTGGTGAGATGATGGATTAGAACGGCGATTTCAAGTTTAGCTAACTCATTGCCGGGACAAGAATGGATCCCACTTCCAAATGGCATGAACGTATTCGCTTTCGGTGCAACTTCGAATCTCGATGGATCGAATTTTCCGGGATCCGAAAATATATCAGCATTGTGATGAATGTTTCTGAATAGCGGCAATACTTTCCATCCTTTTGGAATCAAATATCCTATAAAAAAAACATTCAAAATTTAGCATATTTCATATGTAAACATATCGGTGGTATAAATTTGATCTAAATATGTAAGTATATATGTACATACCTTCGTATTCAACATCTTCGACAGCTTCTCTGAATGTGAAAGATAAGATTGAAGCAACTCTCATTGTCTCTTGGACGACTCTAGAAGTTAATGTCATCTTCTTTGTATCTTCCCAAGTGAGGCTTTCTCCTTCTTTTTTCCCTTTCCTTATTGCCATTTGCTCTTCCTGTTTTACCCAAACAAAACCCGTTTAATTTACGAATCTGCCACTCCTTCGTGAGAGATCTTCAAGTGTCCTTTTGAAAGAAAAAAATGTACTTACTGTGACAGCTTCTAGAACAGTTGGATTATCCGCTAAGTACTTGAGAATCCACGTCAGCACACTCGCCGTCGTGTCTCTAGCGGCGAAGATCACTCCGATTATGTTGTCGGCGATTTGTTCGTCGGTTAATCCTTCTTTGTCTTCCATGAATGATCCGAGGAGATCTTTGTGTGTAGATGAGTTTTCTCTTCTCTTCGATAAGATCTTAGCGAGGATTTGAGCTAACTCCTTGCGAGCTTTCATGGCTTTGTGGAATAGTGTTCCCGGGAGATTAATCGGCATCGAGTTGTAACCTTTCTCTAGATTGTAGTAGCATCGTTTCAGATCTTCTCGGTAAAAAATCTCGTCTTTTCCGAGTATTGAGATTAGCGCCACATTGAAAGTGTACTGTTGATACAAAGAAAAATGAGTCAGAAACAGTTTCCAAGTGAAAAAAACAGAGGATGCTCTGTTTTAGACTGAGAAAAAGACAAAAAACAGGGGATACTCTGTTTCTGTTCTTAAAGACAGCGAAATCGGAGGACTTACTGTTTTCATTTCTTGGTAAGTGTTGAGTTGAGTTCCGTCCCAAGAGTTGAGGGATTCCTGAGCGATTGATTCAATGTTTGGGACCATGGCTCTGATCGAATCAGGCATGAAAGCTCTTAAGACGAGCTTTCTAAGTTTAGCATGGTAATCTCCTTGGTGGAAGAAGATGGCTTGTTTTCCGAGCATTCTCTCTTTGCTCGCCGGAAAAGTCGGTTTAAACAAATGAGACTTGGTATTCAATACGAATTTCGCTGCTTCAGGGCTTGAGATCATCACACATGGACATCCTAATACATGAGTCTTGAACACCGATCCGTATCTGTTTTGTCAAAAAAACAATGAAAAAGTCAACTTTTCTGTTTTAGACAACAAAAGTTTGAATTTTGTTTTTTTTTTTCGATTCTTGCTGATTTAGACCTTCTCTGTTTTGAGGTGAAGAAGACATTTGGGTCTTGTGAGTAAAGCTGGAATGTTTCGCCTACGTAAGGATAGCCCATTGTTCCTGGAGGAAGAGGGAGTTTCGAGGAGGAGCTACGGCGGATTCCGGCGATAAACCGGAGTAAACAGAGAAACAGAGCCGCCACGAAGAAAGTGAGAAACAAGCCGGAGAAATCCATTATAGTTTTTTAACAGTGGAAATTCGAAGTATGTTTGTGAGTTCTCTCTAAAGGAGGTATCAGGTTTTGTTTGCTTGAGATGGAAAATCAAGTGGGAGAGATGAATTGGTTTTATAGGCAGTGGAGAGAGAAATGAAGAGAGGGAAAACATGAGGGAGTTTCCCTTTTTCTGAGCCAGCTAATTTGAGAGAGAGTGACGAGAGCACGTGTCGACGAGCATGCAAAGAAAAAAAAGAGCGTGTGAGATTTTGACCAAATTTAGCCATCTTAATTACTTTCCTTTTTTATTGATGATTTTTTAATCGGAATTAAGTCAAGGAAAGGGGCAATCTTGGCCCTTAAGTAGAGACAAAGGAGG